AAGCGGGAATACTTGGTAAATCTTCAACAACGACAGAAATGGCAAAGAACAACACGGAATTCACAAGTTGATGACATTGTGATTCTACAAGATGACAGCTCACCAAGAAATGAATGGAAGCTTGCCAGGGTTGTAGAAGTTCACCCTAGTGCAGACAGTATGGTGCGGAAGCTGAAGCTACTAGTCGGAGACACTACTGATAAAGGACAGCCACTAACTAAAAGAGTCTACCTCGAAAGGCCCATTCACAAAGTAGTTACCTTACTTGAATCTAACTAAGTCACATACACAAGATTACATTCATTCAGTCTTACAACACTTAATTGCCCTTTCGTGTATATAAATCCTACATTTGAAGTTAATTAGGGATTTGGTGGGAGTGTAAGTGTTGTTGCATAAATACAGTTTGTGTTTTCATGATGCATAGTTCATAATTGCTGTTATAATTTCATGTAAAAAAATAGAAATTGTTTTAATGTAAAGATAAAATATATTACATGCTTAAGAACTAAAGGGTAAAATAAGCTGCTAAATAAGACATGGTTAACAGTGTATTTATCTCATTCTGTGTATTTACGTTTGTCCCGGAACTAATGTTTTATGTATGTGTTACCGCTACGACGGTATAAGTCGACACACACTTCCTTTGGATTCGAGTGGAGCAGATGGCTTCGAGGCTTTGTTAAACTGCATCAAAGTTGCAAATGTGCTTTTTGAAGTTAATGCAGACGGTTAAATGGACTTTCAAGAGACTTTAAAGAATTCAGTAACCTCTTTTCACGACAAGCGGCCAACGAGTTCTCACGGTGTATGGCATGGTGTATGGCACGGTGTACAGAACTGTTGAACGAAGCTTGGATGTACCAAGAGACCAGACGTGCCCACAGCAATAAACGCCCGTTTCAAAGAACTGACCTGTGTCTGTGTTGTCGCGAAGAGAGCTACAGGGCCTACATTTGGACACATCGAGAGATTTATCCTTAAAAGAATTTAGCCTTTGCCTGCTCATTGGGCTGGCTATCCGACATCTCCATATGAAAGACGAACATTAACACCTATTGTGCACGCGCGATAAAGCCACTGTCCCTCCAAACCCCCACAGGCTCTCTGAATCTGAGACTGACTTAAAACAAGAAGTCGCAATTCACACTTAAACCGCTATTAGACATTAGCATTAGGCTATTAAAGTGTTGATAATGAAGGAATTAAATAATGTGAGCTACATGTAGTGATATTTCTGTCATGAAACTTTATTACTAAATATTTAATTTCAATAATTCATTCAATTTCAATAAGTTTTTCTTTTTTATTCAAATAAATCTCGAACCACAGTGCTTCGTTGTGCTGCTGTTAAACTAAATAACATTTATAGAATAATTATGAACTTAAATGAAACAATAGCGCAACATTTCGACAAATAAATTATTTGATTTGTTTTTACATTTTAATTCAGGGCGATTTAGCCTATTTAATTAGAGCGAGATTTTCCCCTTGCCTTGTCCTTTCCTCATTTCTAAGCGCTCACATAGTTAAACATGTTTTAGTAGATCCTCTGTACCTCTCAGTTTCAGATGGATTACATAATCAGATAACATTTATTAAATATTTAGACATTTAAAGGCTTTAGACATGAGCTGAGGCAAGTGGCTTTCGGTTTAATTTAAATTTTGTGTGAAAAACTTTAAATACAAAAAATACACTATATTTATAATTAAATAAGATATAGGGCCTACATTTGGACACATCGAGAGATTTATCCTTAAAAGAATTTAGCCTTTGCCTGCTCATTGGGCTGGCTATCCGACATCTCCATATGAAAGACGAACATTAACACCTATTGTGCACGCGCGATAAAGCCACTGTCCCTCCAAACCCCCACAGGCTCTCTGAATCTGAGACTGACTTAAAACAAGAAGTCGCAATTCACACTTAAACCGCTATTAGACATTAGCATTAGGCTATTAAAGTGTTGATAATGAAGGAATTAAATAATGTGAGCTACATGTAGTGATATTTCTGTCATGAAACTTTATTACTAAATATTTAATTTCAATAATTCATTCAATTTCAATAAGTTTTTCTTTTTTATTCAAATAAATCTCGAACCACAGTGCTTCGTTGTGCTGCTGTTAAACTAAATAACATTTATAGAATAATTATGAACTTAAATGAAACAATAGCGCAACATTTCGACAAATAAATTATTTGATTTGTTTTTACATTTTAATTCAGGGCGATTTAGCCTATTTAATTAGAGCGAGATTTTCCCCTTGCCTTGTCCTTTCCTCATTTCTAAGCGCTCACATAGTTAAACATGTTTTAGTAGATCCTCTGTACCTCTCAGTTTCAGATGGATTACATAATCAGATAACATTTATTAAATATTTAGACATTTAAAGGCTTTAGACATGAGCTGAGGCAAGTGGCTTTCGGTTCAGTTTTGTGACGAGCAGTTCCCGGAGACAGAGACGACAGCTAAAATGTTGTTAGCCTAATATGAATAAAAGTTTACTAGTAGCCTATTAAGTTATTTTAGCTGTTATGAGAAAAATAAATCCAAGTGAACGCGCCGCCGCGTTTGTCGAACACTAATTCAACATGCCAGAATAAAACCCGACTTTAGAACAATAGCGACACTCGACGTGATGTGCCAAAACACTTAATTATAAACTTCAATATTTCATTCAAAATAATCTCAAAACTCTTTGTGACATTTTGAAAAGCCGTGCATATGGCCTACATTAAGGCCACTGGAACCACGAACGTAGGCTACTGTAACTGAAACGCTGATTTTGATTGTATTGTTTGTCGTTTAAACCTGCCTGTTGCATATCTTTATTTTATATATTTTATATGGTCTATTGGTGAAGTAGCCTAAGCCTATTAGCACTGATTAGCCTACTGCGGAGGAAGGGGGTGGGGGGTTAAAATAATTCAGCAGAAGCAGGGATGTTTAGACCAGAAGGAAATCCCCGTCCCCCCTGGCAAATCGCACTTTGCTTAAAGCCATTTTTTAAAAACTCAATGTAGGGAATCCAAAAAATAGGCTATATATATAGGCTATATATATATATATTTTTTTTTACAGAACTGCTTTTGAAATTACGATTGGTATTAGATGTTAAGTCATTCTGTTGGATACTATTTGTTCCAGTGTAAAATAGAAATGCATGGCAATTTGATTTTATAATATAAGCAAAAACTAGGCCTATATGGTGCATAACAGAGTTTTAGAACTAGACAAATCTCTCTGCATTAATAATAGGATATAAAATGCATTAATAGGCTAATATAAAATTGACAAAAGTCCATGTTTGTGCGGGATTTGAACCCGTGTCATCTAAATGATTGAATCGTAAGTTCTTCCACTCGGCCATGAATTTACTCACTGTGACATGCCCAAACGTTTGTTTCTACAGTGTGTTCGCTCACATGAGCGAGAAAACGTTTTATCGTTAGCATAGCCTATTAGACCTTTTACTGTTTTAAAAGATGATATCTTATCTGTATGACCAAAAATTACGGAGTAGGATAGCTTCTATCCTAGAAAGTTATTTTAGCTGTTCTGAGAAAAAATAAATTCAAGTGAAAGCGCCGCCGTGTTTGTTGAACTCTATTTCAACATGCCAGAATAAAACCCGACTTTAGAATAATGCGTAGCGCCACTCGGCGTGATGTGCCAAAACACTTAATTATAAACTTCAATATTTCATTCAAAAACATCTCAAAACGCTTTGTGACATTTTGAAAAGCCATGAATGTATTAAGGCCACTGGAACCAGGATCGTAACTGAAACGCGCTGCATGTTATCTCTCAATACAGGAGCAGAAGCGCCGGTTCAGATTTTATTGTTTGTTGTTTAAACGTGCGTGTTGCATATTTTAAATATATATATATATATTTGATATGGTCTATTGGTGAATTAGGCAAAGCATTGATTACTGGGGGGAAATCCCCCACCAGCATATCGCACCTTGTTACACAATGTTTTTAAAAACGTAGCCTATGGAACCCCATGAAGTTTTTTTTTCTTTTCTGTTTTTTTTAACAGAACTGCTTTTGAAATTACGATTGGAATTATTATACAGATTGATATAAATTCAGTCAATCTGTTGGATAATATTTGTTCCTTTGTGTAAAATGGAAATGCATGGAATTGTATTTTATAAATAGGCTACCGTGTTTGGACAGGATTTGAACCCGTGTCATCTAAATTATTGAAACCTAAGTTCTACCACTCGACCACAACTTTTCTCACTGAGAATTTCCCAGAAGTTCGGTAGTTCAGCAGTCAGCCAAATCCACCACAGTCAGTGCGCGCACACGAGAGAAGCGCTCTTCAATCCTCTCATTCCTCAATTAGTTTAGCGTCATTGCACCTAATTGCGAGAGAGGCCTATTTTAACTTTTGATTCATAAAATGTTCTGCTCTAAAAGTTTGTTATATTCTGTTTAAATGTAGCCTACTTTTACTTTACGTTTTGCTTTCGTTTAATTTAACTGAATCTGTTAGCCTATAGGTTAAACTATTTATATTTTTATTATTATTATTTTTTTGTTCTAAAGGTTTGTTCTATTCTCTTTCGTTTGTTTATTTTTATTTAATTTTTTACATATTCAATCAGTCTCAACTATTTCATCCTTACTGTTAATTGACATTAGCCCGTTTCAAAATGCGGCAATTGCGGCTGTTTTGCTAAATGCCCCTTTGCGCCACCTGGCGGTCATTTCGCGAAGGACTTTGAAGTGCGACTATAGTTTATTTTTGCCGCGGTGGATTTGCCGCGGCAAGAGTCGCGGCGGTAATAGGCATTCTGGTTGAGTACCTACTGTAAAATGTTTGCGACTAACTTTTTAAAGGGATTTATTGATCATGTTACAATGTTTTTTAGCCATTTAATTTACAAAACCTCAAAGTGTTTCCTCCATCGGTTGGTACATGGGAAGAAAAGTGTGTTGTCAAGTGAAGTAATGTTGTATCTTCTGTGTGTTGCATCAGGTGGGTTAAGTTTGAGGAGAAGGTGGAGGAGGGTGGAGAGAGGTGGAGCAAACCGCATGTGTCCACGCTGTCTCTGCACAGCCTGTTCGAGCTGCGCACCTGCCTGCAGACGGGCTGTATCCTGCTGGACCTGGAGGGATACTCTCTGCCACAGATAGTGGGTCAGTACATAAAGAGCCAAGAACAGAACCACCTTTAATCTGGGACTACAGAACTCCAGTTTGAACGCACACATCATTCACAAAGTTCTACATTTTCTACTTATTTAATATTCCGTTTCATAAATATATTGTAATACTGGTCAAAAGATTTTTTTTTTTAATTTTTTTTTTTCAGCAAGGATGCTTTAAATTGATCAAAAGTGATGGCAAAGACGTTTATAATGTTACAAAAGATTTTTATTTACTCAAAAATATGAAGCAGCACAACTGTTTTTAAAATTGATAATAATAAGAAATGTTTCTTGAGCAGCAAATCATCATATTAGAGTGATTTCTGAGGGATCATGTGACACTGAAGACTGGAGTAATAATGCTGAAAATTCAGCTTTGATCACAGGAATAAATTACATTTTATAATGTATTCATATAGAAAACAGCTCTTTTAAATTGAAATAATATTTCACAATATTACTGCTTTTACTGTATTTTGATCAAATAAATGCATCATTGGAGAGAAAAGAGACTTCTTTTAAATACATTTTAAAAAATCTTAGCGACCCCAAACTTTTAAATGGTAGTTTTTTATTGGCTAATTCTTAATTTTGCTATTAATAGGAGTGCAGTACTTTCATATTTTACCACATTGAAATAATCCAAATTCTTTCCACTAAAACTAGTGCAGATAAAAATTCAACAATTATAGCATGCAGTAGTCAAATTTATATTGCTCTTTTAGGATATTTAATGGGGTTCTGAGAAATGTTTAATTAAAGCATCGACTTTGTGACCACAGTCTCTAGCTTCCGTCGCTAATGTGCCTCTTGAGGCCAGGGGAGTGAGGTTTACCCGCACAGCTCTTACTAGCTTGCCACTGTTACATATGGATATACACAGTTAAATATAGAGATATACACAATGAAGAAAGCAGCTCAGATCATTTGGTTTTGGAAAAAAATTATATTTAGTTCATATTTAAATCTCAGACTTTGATTTTAGATTGTGCCATGTTAGCAAATCTGAGCAGTTTGAGACATTGTTGAGAACTAGAGGAGACAGAGTGAGATTACTGGAGTCTCTATACTCAAAAGAAAACATTTGAGAAGAAGTAGCCCTTCATATGCTTTGCATACTCTCATTGCTGCTTAGGAGAAAAAGTTGAGACCTCGTTTGTGTTTTTTCTTTTTCCTGTGTGTTTTCCCTGTGTTATTTAAATATGGATTTGAATGCATAAGTGTGTGTTTTTCTCTCTTTCACAGATGACATCATTGAGAAGCAGGTGCAGGAGGGTCTTATAGCTCCAGAGATCCGTGAGAAGGTCAGTTTCGTCCTCTTGCGGAAGCACCGTCACCAGACCAAGAAGCCGATCCACCGCTCCCTGGCTGACCTCGGAAAATCCAGCCCCTCGAGTAAGAGTCCGCTATGTAACCTGCCCCACAGTCAGTAATATATTCCCAGAATCCCCTGTCTCTCTCTGACACTTGTCTTTTCAAATCATTTCCAATAAACTTATTTTTCTTAAAGTGCCCCTATTATGCTATTTTTATGTTTTGGAGTCTCCTACAACAGGTTTACATGCATCAAAGGTAAAAAAAATACTTTAATTTTCTCATAATATACATTGCACATCACCTCATTTCTCAAAGAGTCTGAAAACGACTCGTTTGAAGATTCAGTCTCTCTAAGCCCCGCCTTTCCGAGAGCTACCCTGCTCTGATTACATTTACATTTACATTTATTCATTTAGCAGACGCTTTTATCCAAAGCGACTTACAAATGAGAACAATAGAAGCAGTTAAACTAACAGTAGGACAACAATACGTAAGTGCTATAACCCCTCTCAGTTTAATTTTAGTGCAATTTTTTTTTTTTTTTTTTATAGAATAGAAGAGAAGAGAAAGTGTTAATTCCACTGAATCAAGTGCTGCCGAAAAAGATACGTCTTCAGCAGTTTCTTGAAAGTGGCTACTGACTCAGAAGCTCTGGTTGAGTTAGGCAGATCATTCCACCAACAGGGAACAGTCATGGTAAAGGTCCGAGAAAGTGATTTTGTGCCTCTTTGAGATGGTACCACAAGACGACATTCGCTAGCAGAGCGCAGGTTTCTGGATGGCACATAAGTCTGAAGTAATGAGTTTAGGTAAGAGGGAGCAGTGCCAGTGGTTGTTCTGTAGGCAAACGTCAGTGCCTTGAATTTTATGCGAGCGGCAACTGGCAACCAGTGCAATTGTGTGAGGAGAGGAGTGACGTGTGCTCTCTTCGGCTCATTGAAGACTACTCTGGCTGCAGCATTCTGGATCAATTGTAGAGGTTTGACAGAGCAAGCTGGAAGACCAGCCAGGAGAGCATTACAATAGTCCAGTCTGGATAAAACAAGTGCTTGGACAAGGAGTTGTGTAGCATGCTCTGCAAGGAAGGGCCTGATCCTCCTAATGTTGTGCAAGGCAAATCTGCAGGACCGGGCAGTTCTAGCAATGTGGTCTGTGAATTTCAACTGATCATCAATTACAACCCCAAGGTTCCTAGCTGACCTTGATGGAGTTATGGATGACGAGCCTAGCTGAATGGAGAAGTTGTGATGAAGTGTTGGGTTGGCCTGGACCACAAGTAGCTCTGTCTTCGCAAGGTTTAGTTGAAGGTGGTGGTCCTTCATCCAGCCAGAAATGTCTGTCAGGCAGGCTGAGATACGAGCAGCTACCGTCGGATCGTCAGGCTGGAATGAGAGGTAGAGTTGCGTGTCATCAGCGTAGCAATGATAGGAAAAGCCATGTTTCTGAATCACAGATCCTAGTGATGTCATGTAGATGGAGAAGAGGAGTGGTCCAAGCACTGAGCCCTGAGGCACCCCAGGTAGATGTTGGGTCTTAGATGCCACACCTCTCCACGACACCCTAAAGGACCTACCTGAGAGATAAGACATTGGAGTGCAGTTCCCGAGATGCCCTTCATCTTTAGGATTTCCTGATTGGTCAGGTGGCCCAGGTCAAAGTTGACGTTTTTCGTGGGTAGCCAATGAAGAGCATAGGCTGGCATTATGCTAATTTGTTACATTGTTGTGTAGGTTTGTAACAGGAAGTGAGACTGGAGAATTACTGACAACTCATTTCGGCAGTTCAGAATCGATTCTTTCTTTTAGGAGACAATAACTTTATTTGTCGCACACTTTGATCTTTACAACTTTGCAGACCTTTTACTTTTTACAAACAGCTATATCACACACTGAAAAAGCATAATAAGGGAACTTTAATTTCTTGAGTTTCCACTTTATTCTTTTACCTGTCCTGCCGTCTTTATCATGTCTTTCTCTGTGTCTGATCTCGGGTCTGTATCAGACCGCAGTCCGAGCCCGATCCCGAGTCCTCGCTCTGGGTCGGGTTTCCATCGCTCCACTGAGGACCTGCGAGCTCGTCAGAGCGGCGGCCTAAGCAAACTGCGTGAGTCTGAGCTTCTGGTTCTTCTCCCTTCCATTGATTTATCTACAACCTCTTCCAGATCTCTGGAATTTTCCATCTTAAGTTCACTCTGGCATCCCTTGAGATGAACTTTTGGTTTTCTAATAAGCTTTCCTACTGTCTCAAGTTCCGTTACCCTATATCACCAACACCCATAAAAATGCATGACCCTGCAAACTGCTGTCAGTGTGAACAACCTTTTACTTCCCATAGCATCATCCACTGACTAACTGTGTGTAGTTGCAACATTTCTCAAGTATGCAACAGTGCATTTATGCCATTGTTCTGAGGATTAGAGATTATTAGAAAGGTCTTGACTTTGGTTTTCCATTCCTGTTTGTCACGATTTGTTTCTGTACTGTGGGTACTTTAGGCCAGAAAAACAACAGTCTTTTTCTTGTCTTTTAAAGAAAAGGTTCCAAAAAGCATACAACCAGTAAAAAGTTTGGAATAATTAAGAATTTTTTTTATGTTTTTGAAAGAAGTCTCTAATGCTCACCACGGCTGCAGTAATATTGTGAAATATTTATTATAAATATATACAATATTTATTAAATAACTGTTTTTTTTATCCACTATTTTTAACATTGATAATAAAAGTTTTGCCATCACAGGAATAAATTACATTTTATAATATATTCAAATTTTAATTATTCAAAGTGTTGTTTTTGATCAAACAAATGAAGCATTGGTGAGCATAAGAGACTCCTTTCATAAACAATAAAAAATCTTAATTAATTCAGACTTTTGACCAGTAGTGTGTGTCTTTTAAACATAAAGCCGCACATATTTTGCAGTCATTTGTAAAAAATAAAAACCAGCATGGTTGTATAAAAGGCCCAGTTTTGTCACATGGACATCCCTATGAACAAAAAATATGGACTGTTCCAAAACTTTCCAAGCAAACGTGACTTTTGAAAGTTTAAGATGTATTGTACATAAATATTATAATCATAAAGTAACATGCTATATTATCAAAGTATCTAAAATCTTTTTTGGTATAGGGGTGACAATGTCCTATTGTTTTTGCTTGCAAAATAATTTGTGATGAATATGTTGTTATATGTATTTGGCATGCATTTGACACTGAAATCATAATACAATGTGTTATTTTAACGTTATTTATATACTATTTATTATTTTATCTGTTTCATCTGTGCTTCTCAGATCCTTCTCAGTGCCGCAGCATGAATGATATTTCCGTCACACCCAGCACCGACCAGGTACAACAGTTTTCCATTAGTATTCCTAACATTGTTAGATTTATTTTCACATGAACATATTAAAATGAGGTGACCGATATGAGCCATAATTAAGTGCTGAGGGGATAATGTCCATATAAAGCTGGGTTCACACTGTATGATTTTGGCCATCTGAGACAAATGTTAAGAATCCTAAAAGATTCCTCATCATTCCATCATTCCTTTGATCACTAGTTTGACATGTTCACTGACAGCCGATTAATGACCATTGCGATTAAATTTTACCTCAGACGAAATTCTGGCAGTGGCAGTAGATTTGACACAGTCCTGCAGTGCGAGTTCTCCTAGGACAACCATCAAATCAAAAACCAACAGAAGCTCAGAACCTGATGACACAATTATAGAGACAACAATAAACCACCAGCTCCATACACATCGTCTTCGTTTTTTTTTTTTCATTTTTCTTTTTCAAGACAAGCCATGATCAAAATTAACGCTAGAGACTTGCTATCCTGCATGTAATGCGGTCATTGAACATGTCACGGATTGATGATGTAAAACCCAGGACGAGTCTTCTTGCGTGCGTCCGTTATTACCGTTTCTTGACTGCTGTACAGTCTGACATTAATAACATCTGAGATCCTACAGTGTGACATGGCTTACAGCGGGATCATGTTCTTGCAGTCTGACAGGCAACAATCGTACAGGACTATTATAAATCGTACAGTGTGCACCCGGCTTAAGTCACTCAAGTGCTGCCAGCCCTCATTAGTCTTTTTGTAATATTTTCTTTCATTTGATCATTGGTTTTGTGGTGCAAAAAACGAAAACAATGAAGCACAATTATGAAATAAACAATAAAGCTCTTATTTTTGCCAAGGTATTTTGAGGCGAACGGTGCCGCCACAGTCGGCTCACTAGACTTCAAAGTGGGCCAATTCTGAGTCCACTTTAATGAGTTTCTCTGCTTATAATGACACCCACGGCTGACTTTCATGTGGTCACTGCCCTCGACAGGTTTCATTTAGGGCCTACAGGAGCATGCTGAGTTTGAAAGTCAAGGGTCCCAGGAATTATGGGGGGATAGATGTCAAATGCATTTATTCAGGCATTACAAAGCTCTTTGATTGATTACCTTACAGGTTTAGATGCAGGAGCCCCAAAATAAATGTAGACACTTGATCATCTTTAAAAATGTATGAATGTCATTGCATTTGATAACAAAACGTCAAACCAAGTGTAATTGTTTTTTCAAGAAAGATAGCACAAGCACACTTGTCAAGCAAAACCTTTCATAAAAGAAGTTTATTAGGTTTGAAATGAGAGGAACCAACTTTACCTTGAGCCAGTTGGTTAAGCGCCTTTGCTGTAGCATTTAGCCAGAAGGTAGTGTTGTAGTACGTGAGAGCTTGGTCTTGGTTACAAGACCATTTTTTGGTCTTGTTTCGGCCTTGACCGCATTTGTACTCTGGCTTGTCTCGGTCTCAGACTAAGAGGACTCAGGATTTTATTTACTGGTCAAGACCACAACTGTGAGGATTTCATTAAATTGCAGGTGCATTGTCTGACTTATTTGTTAATGTGATTGGATGTAATACTTATATGCTTCAAATGCAATCAATAACTTATTTCTAATTTGAATTCTTCTTGTGCTGGTTCAGAAATCGAGGGAATGTTTCAAAAATGTCAACAAAATGAATACAGATGCACACAAAATTTAAGATATAATTGCAAAAAAGTACTTGTATGAGATCTTGATTTTCATATTATAACATACACTTTATTAGGTGCACCATGATACGAATCTCCCAGCAACAGCAACAATACTCAGGTCGGCTGTGGCGTTTAATGATCCTCAATTGATACTAAAGGGCCCAAAGTGTGCCAAGAAAATACCCATTTCACCATTACAGCACCAGAAGCCTGAACCTCTGATACAAGACAGGATGGATCCATTCTTTCATGTTGTTTAAATTTTGACCCGAGCATCTGAACATCGCTGCAGAAATCCAGACTCATCAGACCTGGCAACGTTTTTCCAATCTTCTATTGTCCAGTTTTGGTGAGTCTGTGTGAATTGTAGCCTCAGTTTCCAGGTCTCAGCTGACAGGAGTGTCTTTCAGCAGATCGTATCGATCATGTCTACATGCCTAAATGCATTGAGTTTCTGCCATGTGATTGGCTGATTGGATATTTGCGTTAACGAACAGTTGAACGGGTGTACTTAATAAAGTGGCCAGTGAGTATATAATATAATTGAGCAATATCACAAGAGCAAGAGTGCTGTTTTCATGAATATGAGCATGATTACAAACGTGATATTGATTTATACAAACGTTCAATAAACAACTTTTTTTTTTAAAAATCATTAGTCTCTGCATTATTCATGCAGCTTCTGTGCCACCTCTGCAGTGTAAAGATACATTTTGCTGTTAGTATCTTTCATTTGATTAGTAACAGCTCCATATAGAGTCGCATTATTGTATGTATTGATTAAATATAAGACATTTTTGAGGCAGTAAATGTGCATCTTTTATATGAATTTAAGGAGTGCTGGTCTGGTCTTGTCTTGGTCTCGGTTTAGGTGGTCTTGACTACTACACCACCAGAAGGTCAACTTCTAAGTGAGACCTGAGAGTGTCTATATACTTTTCGGGGCCATTTTGTTATAAATTAAAATGTTTGTGAGGAATGAGATCTATTTTGGTCAGAGAAGTAGAACCTGCAGATTTGATACTCAAATATAGAGCAAAACAGCAGCGAACGTTCTGACAAGAGGCAAAACCGGGTCGGGACATGAGAAGGGAGCTTGTTTATTTGTGGCAGAAAGTGAATTCACTCTGAAAGTGGTATTAAAAGATTGCCAAAAGCTGATTTATTTTGACGATAAGCACAGACCATTCCATATCCACGTGGCCACCGTTGCCGATCGGCTGTTTTTATTGGTTCGTGTGTGTGTGCATTGCTTGGTTTTCCCGTTGTGATTGCGTAACTTTATTGATCTGCCATTGGAAAAAATTAGACGCTTCCCATTTCCATCGCATGCAGGCACATCAGACATTGATAATGGAGCTCATATTGATACTGATTGATAAAGAGACATGAATGAGGCACAAACTCTTTCCAACATGGAAATGTCATGACCTATGCATCTGACACAGACTATGTGGTCTAATTTAAACCCACTCACCCATGATGCCTAACTGCATTGCATCTCGCCCACCAGCTGAAGAATAAATTTATGAAGAAGATCCCCAGAGATGCTGAGGCGTCTAACGTGCTGATTGGAGAAGTGGATTTTTTAGACAAGCCGTTGGTGGCCTTCGTACGTCTGGCTCAAGCCGCAACGCTAGGAGGCCTTACTGAAGTCCCTGTGCCAACCAGGTGATCATTCCCAAACATTTAGCATATGTTTATTGGCTGGTTAAATAGCCAATAGCCTTTAAATGTTGCAGTCTGGCAAAACTGCACTTGAGTTTTACCATAAATTCCAGACATTTCCTTTGCAAATGATTAGAAATACAAGTATTGTGCAACCAAATTATGATTTCTGCATTAAAAAAAATTAATGAACAAGTTTTTTCGTTTTCCAGTAAAAGTTTCTAAGCCTAAGGAAGCCGATTTCTGCCACATAAAGAAAAAATCATGCTTTGGTAAATAATATTTATAACAATTAAGACAAAAAGTCTAAATTATGACACAAAAAGTCAAAAATATTAAGATACTCAGCTAAAAAGTTGAAATGACAGTTAAAATTGACAAAAAGTCACTTTTTCACAATAATTTCGACTTTTTATGTCATAATTATTATTTTTATGTCATTTTGACTTTTTATGTTATAATTTTATATGTTGCAGAAATGGACTTATATACTAAATATCCTTTAGAAAAGATACATTTATTTGAGATAAATATTAGGACTTTTCTCAGAGAAGATTTTTTCCCTCAACCCACTCGTAAATTGTTTATTTATATTTTAAGCATAAATCTGACAAACTTTATTTAGGTTTATTCTATTCAATTTATGTTTACAACAAGATTGAAAAAATAATAATTTGAGTAACAATTAAAGAATTGAATAAATGTAATATATTCTCTGAAAACAAGTCTTATATTAATTGAGGGTTAATTGAGCTTTTCTAGTAAATCTGATAAGAAAGTTTGTATATATACGTTTTACTGGAAGACAAGACAAAAAAGGAAATAAAAATAAGTGTGGTCAAAGTCAGATGGTATTTCTAATTTAGAGGGTGAGATCATCACGTTTTAATCATATTTTTGATCCATTTTACAGAAAGAGAAAGACTATTTTTCCGATGTGATTTGTAATTGCTTAAAATTGTAATCAAATACAATGTGAATTTTCTTTGTGCTGTATTTTCCAGGTTCCTCTTCGTGCTGCTCGGTCCCAATGGCAAAGCCAAATCCTACAATGAGATCGGTCGGGCCATGGCCACACTCATGGTTGACGATGTAAGAAAAAGTATTAGTAGTTCTGTTCCTCAAAGTTTAGTATCATCACAGTATTTGCTAACACGTCTGTGTGCATCTGTCACCATCTTTAGCTCTTCAGTGACGTGGCCTATAAAGCCAGAGATCGTGAGGACTTGATTGCTGGGATTGATGAGTTTTTGGATGAGGTGATAGTTCTTCCTCCTGGAGAATGGGACCCCAAGATCCGCATCGAACCCCCAAAGAAACTGCCTTCAGCAGATATGAGGTATTAAATCATGAATCTATGCATATTACCAGTATTGGGGGCAGTATTTATTTTTTCAATAAATTAATACATTCATTCAGCAAGGATACATTCAATTGATCAAAAGTGACAGTAAAGACATTTATTTGAAATAGTAACATTGTAAATGCTGTTCTTTTGAACTTTCTATTCATCAAATAATGCAGAAAAGCAGAATGCAGCCTTGGTGAGCATAAGAGACTTCTCTCAAAACAGTGAAAAATCTTACTGACCCCAAACTTTCACAGTTTTGTCAACATAATAGACATACTATACCGGTTTACACACTGCATTATCATTAAAAGCACACTGTGAAAAATATTTTGTAACCTAAAACATGTACTTCATGTGGTAGCGTCTAAATTAACTGGCTATATTCAAGTGAAAATATATTATTTCATATTTATTCCGTCATATTAAATATTGCTTGTAATGATGTTGCACGCTTCAGGGAGTTTGCACAGAGTTCATTGTGTTTGTTTCTGCAGGAAGTCAGTTTTCTCTCTAAATGAGCTGGGGCAGCCGAATGGGAACGCAGGAGGAGGCGCAGCGTCTGCAGAAGACGAGGAAATGCCGGCGCCGCATGAGCTTGGAGAGGAGCTGAAATTCACTGGCCGGTAAGCCTGCTCACCTGCTAGAGCTAGAGTTTTAGATTGACCTCACGTGACCTCTGAGACTCTTTCTGTTTGTGCAGATTTTGCGGAGGACTGTGGCTGGACATCAAGCGTAAAGTGCCCTGGTGTTTCAGTGACTTCTACGACGGCTTCCACATCCAGTCGATCTCTGCAGTGCTCTTCATTTACCTGGGCTGCATCACCAATGCCATCACCTTTGGAGGACTGCTGGGGGACGCCACGGACAACTACCAAGTAATTCACATCCTAGCCACAAATGTTTGGATATAATGCCCATGTTTTAATATAATTTACACATTGCCTATACAATAATCTCAAAACAGTCAAATATGAGGCAAGTAATTGGCCTGGCCAGTATACAATTTCTATTTCAGAGTGCAAATTAAAAAAGGAGAAAGTGAGAAAAAGTTTCAAATAAGACATTTTATAATAACAAAAATAAATGTAAGAAAATGTACAGTATGTGAGAAATAAAGGTGCAATTGTGTGATAAAAGGTCACAATTACAAGAAAGAAAAACACACAGATGCCCATTTCTGCCTCTTAATAATGCATTAGTAAATCATAATAATGACTTATTATGTCATAATTTTGAGACATAATTATTAGGAAAAAATTTAATTCATGAGATGAAAAGTCAAAATTATGAGACAATTATGACAAATAGTCAAAGTTATGAAAAACATTATAAAAAGTCTACATTAAGACTATGACTTAGTGGGCCCTATCTTGCACCCAGCGCAATTGACTTTGTACACCGACGCATGTATCATTCCTATTTTGCACCCGACGCACAGCGGACTTTTCCCTCCACAGACGCACGTCGGTAAATTAGGGAATGACCTTGCGCTCCCGGGACGGTTCAGCGAAATGAGGAGGCATGTTCCGGCGCAAACGTTCCCTGGTGCAATTTTGCAGTTTCAGAAAATAATTCCGCCACAGACCAGGAAAAACCTAGTCTAAAGTCAGTGGCGCGTTATTCAGATGCTATTTTAAGGGCGCATGCTTGGCCATAATGTAGCGTGTGCACAACGCACTTACACTTTGCTTCTCTCATTACACAGACGCAGCAGTTCCCATTTTTGCAAACCATACATAATTACAAGGAAAAATATTACCACACGAGGGAAATCATTGTGGTGTCCATGAAGATGTGAAAAAATAGGCATAAATCTAGCTTACACATTTACCCAAATTATTATACGCCTGTTTAACCGAAGCTAATTTGGGTGTTTCTCCCATCCCCATACAATGTCAAAGTCGCAAGTTCCGTCGTTACCAATAGAGTTCAATGGGATTTGCGACCAACTTGCGACCATAGTTGGCTAACGATGCTTTCGGGAAACGCACCCCTGATTGATTTATTGCACGTTACGCCCAAACCACACCTATGAGTAATGTAGCGACTTCAGACCAACCCATTTTAGATTTGCGTGGGGCGCAAGAGTCATTTATCCCGCCGGTATAATAGCAACAGTGCCCGAGATCCGCCCACAAAGTTACTTGCGTTTCTCGTTCGATACTTGCGTTTCAGATCGTTAAAATAGGGCCCAGTATCTTATTTCGACTTTTTGTGTCATAGTTTTCTTGTAATTACAACATTTTGTCATAGTTCTTTAACTTTTTATCTCGAAATTATGATATAGTATCTCATAAATTTAACTTTTATATGTCATAATTATGATTTACCTAAGCATGATTTGTTTTCTTATGTGGCGGAAATGGGCTCCCATAAGAAGCAGGCTTCTTAAAATTTATTTTCGCAATATTAAGTGAAAATTAATACATTAATTTAAAGTTTTATTTTTTATTTTTTTATTTTTTTATTTTATTTTTTTATTGAAAACTTTTTCTGTTTCGTTATTTGCTCCATTATTTTTTTATGTGTCTCATTGACTTTCAGGGTGTGATGGAAAGCTTTTTGGGCACGGCTTTGGCCGGCGCGGTCTTCTGTTTTTTCGGCGGTCAACCGCTCATCATCCTCAGCTCTACGGGACCGATACTGATCTTTGAAAAGCTGCTTTTTGAATTCAGCATGTGAGCGTGACATCCTGTGATTTAGTAAAGTTAAAAATCATCGAAATATGTGAGTCAGCAGTCTTCCATTGAGTTTGATTCTTTAACTGAATTGTCGTCTGTGTTCAGAAACAATGACATTGACTACATGGAGATCCGGCTCTGGATCGGCTTGCACTCCTGCCTCCAGTGTCTGATCCTGGTGGCCACAGACGCCAGCTACATCATCAAATACATGACACGCTTCACCGAGGAGGGCTTCTCCAGCCTCATCTCCTTCATCTTCATCTCTGATGCCCTTAAGAAAATGATGGGCACCTTCAATTATTACCCTATCAATCGAGACTTCAAGCCAGATTACATCACCAGCTACAAGTGTGAGTGCCAGGCTCCTGATCAAGGTGAGTCTGACCCTTGACCCAGTGAAAGACAACCTCGGCCAGTCAGGCTTTGTGGGATTATGCTGTGAAATAAAAACTGACCCTATTTACTTTCTTCTTACACTTTCCTGACTTTTCATTCACCAGTGCATGTTATTCCAAGAATAAAAAAATAAAAAATATATATATAATAGTCAAGTCACCTTTATTTATATAGCGCTTTATACCATACAGATTGTTTCAAAGCAGCTTTAGAGTGATAAAAGGAAAATGATTCAATGATGCAAACAGAGTTAATTTCGGCTGTACAGCTGAAGTCAGTTCAGTGTTGATTAAGTTCTATTATAAAGATCATCAATTATTAAATTAGTTCATTTCATCTATAAATTATTGTATTAAAAATAATACATTTTAAAAAAATATTTAAAAATAATAAAAGTATTATTAATAATTGATGATATTTGATGCTGTTACGAATAATAATAATAATAATGTTTGTTTTAATATTTTATTCAAAAGTAATTATTATTATTATTCAATAATACAAGTATTATTGATTGATACAATTATCAATATTAGTAGCATAATTGTTATAAATAATTAAATTTGTTTTTATGAATAATAATAATTACTTTTGGATAACATGTTTAAAAAAATTGTATTGTTATTATGTTTTAAAATATATTATTCAAACAATTAATATTCAAATTAATAAAATGTATTATTATTTTAATTATTAATAGTTAATGTAATAATGATAATATTTTATTATGAATAATAGTAAAATAAAATTTAATTTAGTCATAATTATTTGTCTTTTGATGAAAATATCATTTAAATTTAGTGAGTGTTTTGTGGTGCATTAATTAATTAGTGTCAATTTTACTAAAATGGCATTTCATTTTTGTCTACAATTAATCATTGAATTTTTACTCTCCACAAATGTCTGCAATCCTGCATTCGCTCACTGTTCTTGAGATCCAAAATATTTTCTGTTGAATATTTGGTGTCATTAATGAAGGAAAAGTGTTTTCCATACTAAAATGTTATGTTGACTTTTTTGTTTTTCGGATGACATATTGGTTTGTTACACCTATCCACTGCAACTTATGTGTATCATATTTGTTTTGCATCCTCGATCTGGCTGCTGGTTGGAGTAAGTATCGTCTACTGGCATGTTGTTACAATTCTTGACACCCCTTGAACATCTATATACGATGTTATTGTATGATACGTCTTGTCAATAAGCATAAAACACTATTAGTGCTTGTTTACCTTCTGTTGTAGTGGCTTTCAACACTTCCTCTCCATTAGGCCTTGAAAACATCTCTGATTACTCTATGGTGAGTTGAAACTGTTATGTATTTCATACGTTTTTCTTCACAAAAGTTATCACTATTGCTTTTACCATACTTTTTTCCGTTTTGTGGTCGGTGCTCTCACTCTCAGTTCAACTTCACGGCTCTGGACTGGAGTCAAATGACTAAGAAAGAGTGCTTGAGATTTGGCGGTTCCCTGGTGGGCAAATCCTGCAAATACGTCCCAGATCTGGCCATGCTGTCTTTCATCCTGTTCTTCGGCACTTACTCCATGACCATCTCGCTCAAAAAGTTCAAGTCCAGCCGTTACTTCCCCACCAAGGTTGGGACACTGTGTTGAGCATTTTCACATGTATTTCCCATGTATGTCAATACACCTGCTTCTGTATTCTCTGGGTCAGACCGTATGGAGACAGTTTTCCTTATCCTAATCCATTTTGTATTTACCTCTCTCTTCCCCAACTTGCTTCTGTTTTTCTCCAAGTGTCGCGCCTTGATAGCAGATTTTTCCATAATTATATCCATCCTGGTCTTCTGTGCTCTGGATTATGTGCTGTCCTTGGAGACTCCCAAACTGCATGTACCCACCCAGATAAAGGTCTAGAATGTGTCATCTTGATGTTATACCACAGACATGCCTTTTATGTTGGTTATATTTGAATGAAATGCTGCCTTCAAGTCTTCTTCATGTTGTATATAGGGGAAAAGCACACATGAATGCCACCATAATGTTGTATAGTGGTAAGTTCTTGCACAAACATAGCCGCTAAGATAAAGGGATAGTTCACCCCCCCAAAAAAAAAAAAAAATCTGACATTAATAACTCGCCCTCATGTTAATCCTTTGGAACACAAATGAAGATCTTTTTGATGAAATCTGAGAGCAACTACCACTTTGACGCTTCAAAAAGTTCATAAAGAGATCGTAAAACGAATCCAAATTTTCTGAAGAGACACAAATGCTTTATATGATGAACAGATTTAATGATGTGCGAGAACCAATGAGGTTCATTCTCGTGTCACACAGCACAAACAAATCACATCATATTTAAACTTCTCAGAAAGACTTGAAGGCATCAAACCTGCTTCTGTTGCATTTTTAAATCTATTGCACTTTTGTCTTATAAAGCCTTTGATCGTCTCTAGATCTTATTTAGTTGTGTCTAGTTTTCTATGTCTTTATCTTTCTTTTTCCTCTGCAAATGTGCAGCTTCGGAAACTCATCAGTGATTTTGCAATCTTCACGTCAATCATGACATTTGTTGGTCTTGATATGTTAATGGGGCTTAAAACACCTAAACTGATTGTGCCAACCGAATTTAAGGTACGTTGTGCAATGGATACAAGCGTATGTTTCTTTACCTCCCATTTGCATTCATTTATTTGAGCTTTTTCTTCATGATTATGTACTAATATCACGTTAATCCAATGTGCTTTACAAAACACGCAGTGTGATTTCAGTGACAGCCACTGGTTATTGCTATGCTGACTTACTTGAGTGCTGTTCTGTGTGTGTAGCCCACACGGCCGGATCGCGGCTGGATCGTCATGCCTTTAGGGAAGAACCCGTGGTGGATGTGCATGGCCAGTTTTGTACCTGCTCTGCTGGTCACCATCCTCATCTTCATGGATCAGCAGATCACAGCCGTCATCGTCAACCGAAAAGAGAACAAACTAAAGGTGCTGGACGTCACCTATGAAACTTATTAGCTTTTAACAACACTCTACATCAGCACTCATTCTCACACTCAAAAGTTTTTGGTACTTTACATAAAAAAATTAAAAAAATTGATGAAAAACTGTAAAGTAAAAGTAAGTAAAAGGCGTTTTAGTATAATTCTAAAAATGTCCCCCTTAAAGGAGCTGTATGTAAGAAATTCATTTAAATTAATCATAAAATGGCCCTGAAATGTCACTAGACATTAAGAAATCATGTTCACTACAAAACTTATATCACTGACAACAGTAGTCTGGCCAGGATATTGTCATTTAAAAAGTGCAGTTGCAGCCCTCAACTGATGTTGATGTTGTCATGTTGTGTTTTGGTCTGATGCTCCACCCTCCACCTATCTACCAATCACGAAGTCAGTAGTGTTGCGGCATCCGGGTTGCCAGCTCTGCTGTAGTTACCACAGCTGCAGCTCGTCACGTTCCTGCTGGATCCTGCAGCCTATCTGGCAACCTCGAGTCAGGGAGGAGGGGGAGGGGATACACCACTCTACAGTAATTTGACAGTGATTGCAGTACCAGTTTTGGCCACAATCTTACATACAGCTCCTTTAAGGTTACATGTGTATTTTTGTTGTGAAATATTTACATATTTTTATAAAGTGAACATAAGAATAATTTTTATATTGTTGGCAATAGGTCAAGGTGAACATTTATTTTGACTGAAGGTTTACTTGATTATCCATACATAATTATTTTTAAAATCATGTTAAAATGTATGTATCAAATATACAACAGGCTTTTGAGGAACATTTATTTGTTCATCTCTCAATCATCATTGAATCACATTGATGAAAAAAACTACAGAGCTTTGATCACAAAACTAAGCATTTAAGTATCATCTTACTAAGACATATTATTGGCAGATATAGAGTGACGACTGATGTTTATATGCATTTTATAGAAGATCTCATTGAATTACAAGCTGTCAGAATTTCATCTCACTTTTTGGGCATATAAATGTAAATATCAGCAACGACATGAAATTGCATATTTTTGCTCATTTTGGGCCTCTGAATAAAATTTGATTTTTAGGACTATTATGTCATGTCAGGCTTTACAGGGTTAAACTTAAACTAAAAAAAAGAGAAACTAAAAACTATTTGTAATAATTTTAAAGTTGAAGCACTAAGATTATTAAAACTGAAATAAAACAAAATATAAATATATAAAAAACGAATAAAAAATTACAAAACCACATAACAAAATTATTAAAACTTATAATAAATACTATAATAGTACATAAATAATACTAAAATAACACTGGCTAGCACCCACTGGTGACCAACCGCAACCCCCCAGCACCATGATGTTGAGTTATGATTATGTAATATGCATGCATGTCCATAAGCAGTAATGTGTTGTTCCATCTAGCATTGCGCAATGTCTTTTCCTCATTTTCCCTGGAGCAGAAAGGTTGTGGTTATCACCTGGACCTGTTCTGGGTGGGCATCCTCATGGCCGTTTGCTCCTTCATGGGTTTGCCCTGGTACGTAGCGGCCACGGTCATTTCCATCGCCCACATCGACTCTCTGAGGATGGAAAGTGAGTCCAGTGCTCCTGGTGAGCAGCCACAGTTCCTTGGTGTGAGGTAAGTCAAAGCAAGACCTTTTTTTGTAGATTTAAGCATAAATATTAGTATGAGAATTATTCAATTTGTGTTTATCGTAGGGAGCAGAGATTCACAGGCATATTGGTGTTTGTCCTCACTGGAGTGTCTGTCTTCCTTGCACCAGTTCTACAGGTAATCAAAACTGCACTTTACTTTTATAAAATCATGCTTGTTTTTTGTCACTTGAGCACTATTTGGACAGTCATTGATTCTCATGGGGATGTAAGGTAATTGCAACATTTCAAGTCAAGTCACCTTTATTTCTATAGCACTTTATAAAAAGCAGCTTTACAGTGATAAACAGGAAAATAACGATTCCATGATGCAAACAGAATTCAATTCAGATAAAGCAGCTCTGAAAAGACAGTCATTATTCTTTTGAAATCAGTTCAGTGTTGATTCATTTCGGTACAATAACTGTGTAAAGTACATCATTTATGAAATGAATTCAGCTTTAAAGCAGCTGTGCAGAAAACAGTGATGTCATAATAGTCTCAGTGCAGTCAAATCAGTAATATTGCTGAATGTTAATATTATTGAACATTTAGTCTGTAGTTTTATTACCGCCCGAATCCAGAATGTCTGTGTTTTTCTCTCACCACCAGGACTGGGACGTTTCTCAAAAGCGTTTGTGAGCTGTTGATCATAGAGACAACGCTGAGAAACGCAGCCCAGGTTTATTCTTGCCTATTTCTTGGGGAAATCTTATTAAAGCCAAACTTTATTAAAGACATTCACCGCGCTATCTAGATTCTGGAATTTCTGTCAAAGACAGGCGATTTTCGCTGTGTATACATACAATATGCTTCAAATTATTATTCATACATGTAAATATGCACTGCTTTAACAAAAAGACAAGGCGATGTAGGTACTGTGGAAAAAACTAACAAAGAATAGCAGTCACATCAAAAATCGTTCTTGTTCTTGTTTAAAGTTTATGGCAACCCAACTCAGTTTCCCAGTAGTAAATATGACTTGAGAATGTCCAATTTCTGACTAGGAAACTCGTATTTACCAAATATTTCCTTTAGCACAACCATTGAAACTGTAGCGTGTAAATTGTCTTATTTTTTAATATATTTAAATATTCAAATAATGAAAAAGGATATTATTTTTCTATTATTAGGGCCAGAGCACAGATGGTGAGAGGACCCTATTGTTTCTGCTCCGTTTATTATTAAATTTAATATGAATTTATTAACAGTATAAGCATTAACAGACATTTTGTTTACAGCTGTCAATCATGTGACTGAACATGTGAGCAGCAAGAACTCCACAGTGAATAAGTCGCCAAACAAATGCATACATTTTTAGCACTGAGGTGCCATGAAAGTGTATTTTTACAGACGTGCCCATGAGGAACAAAAACCATCCGAATAGGGCTTTAGTGCAATTTAGAAGCTGTACAATTAATTGTTTTTATTTCTGCACAGTACATCCCTATGCCTGTGTTGTATGGTGTGTTCCTGTACATGGGTGTCGCTTCTCTCCATGGCATTCAGGTACACGTCACTCTGTAAAAACTCTTCCGATCGCTGCTCTGCTGTATTAAACGAATGGTTCCCCAAAAATGAAAGTGCCCCTATTATGCTCTTTCGAATATTACCTTTCATGTAATGTGTAATATAGCTGTTTGTGAATTTAAAAGGTCTGCAAAGTTTCAAAGATAAAAGTGCATGATAAATAAAGTTATTGTGTCCTAAAAGAAAGACGTGATTCTGAACGAGTCGTCAGTTTTTATTTTTACTTTCTGCAACGACGCTGTTTTCTGCGCTGTGAAAGCAAATCTGCTTTAAACGCTCTTCTAAAGGATGACGACTCGTGCTGGAACTGATACAGTAAAACCGACGCCATCGAGATGTGTATCAAGTGCTGAGGAACATCTGAAGCTGAAGTTCAGATATAGTAATAGCCTTTCGTTTCCGACACGCACTGTAAGCAACCACGTCTCATTCCATTAATAATAATAATAATGTCTAGTGTGGTGGTGGCTGATAGACCCGTTGCCATGATGTTTAAATGACTTATCGCGAGAGAAAAAAAAGGACGTTGTATCGCATAACATCAGTTAATGGAAACGCCGTCATTTCGCAATAGTTTTTTATCGACATTTAGAAAAAATCGCAAAAGTTTTGCGCAAATCTGTAATGGAAACGCGCCTAAATTGCTGCCTTGTATGGTGTGTCTCAGTGGGAAAAATGTTCAGATTCTGGGGACGTTTTTTAACGTCATCAAATAGTTGGGCCGGTGAAAACCACAAATGCCAGGGCCGAATTTTGGTCCCAGTCCGGCCCTGCATTAGACCAATCACAACAGACTGGGCCATCTGACCAATCAGAGCAGAGTAGCTCTCGGAAAGGCGGGGTTTAGAGAGACTGAATCCTTTATCAAACTGTTTCAGACACTGAGAATAGAGCTGATGCTGTTTTTTGAGCTTGGATGCACGTAAACCTACTGCGGGAGACTCCAAAACAAAATTAGGAGTCTTTAAGTAAGGGTTAATGCCCGACGAGGTGTCCATTGTCAGGTATTAATGGACGACGGCGAGGCGTGAACTGTACGACGCGCAGCGGAGTCCATTAATACCTAGACAATGGACACCTCGAAGGGCATTAACCCGCTTATACCATGGTCACTTGCCAAATAACACATCTTTAAAACATTAGTTTATATTTTAATTAGTTTTACAATCGAAATCTAAAGTTCTCTTACGAGAGGTTCTCTCGTATTGCGTAAGCTAGCTTACGCTGCGGGAAAGATTCATCTTTGCTGAGATATTGAAGCCAAAAAATTATTTCATAATTTTGTATCCATACACAACGCAGTTCCTCTGCGGCAGACCTAGAGCGGGCTAGCTAGCAGCTCATTGGTTCGCTCAGAGAGAACTGCTTAAGCCTATGGGAGAGCGGGGCCGAACCCGCTTCCAATGAGAGGCGCCCGCGCGCTCATTGCGTCACGACCCGCCAGAATGGGCGTGGCCACGGTGTATATAAGGCGCTCTCCCAGGCTTATATGTTGATTCATTTCATCTTCAGCAAGCTGCACGCTTCTGCTGTTCCTGAGAAAAGCCATCGCCGTCGAAGAAGGCATCCTCTAGCGAGCTCAAGGACCCTGAAGAAGCCGGCCGTCTTCGCCACCTTCAGCCGCCCAGCAAGCTAGGCCATCCGACGATTGTATCCTTTCTCTATTTCTAAAAGAGCCGAGCGTCTTTTTAAAGATGTCTCGTTTTTCCTGCGGCTCTTGCCGCGCTCGTCTCGAGGACGGAGACCGCCATGTCATCTGCGCTCTCTGCTTGGGACTCGAGCATGCAGAACTCGCCCTCGCTGATGGAGGATGCGACCTCTGTGAAAGCCTGCCGTTATCGTCCCTGCGGGCACGACTTCTGGCAGTGAAAACCGCTCCCGCGCCGCCTATTCTCTCGCCGCGTAAAAAGAAACGCCGCTCTCAAAGGCCGCCGGAGCCCCCAGCGGAAACATGCGGGCCGCCGCCGCCGCCTCCCGCTTCCCGCTCTCCCTCCCCGCCCCTGCCGGACATTCAGTTGCCGCCGAGTGGCCGCTCTGTTGTTTCCGATGACGCCGCGGAGGAGAAGGACTCCTGTTCACTGCTCGCTTCTGACAGTGAAGACTGGTCATCTCTCGGATCCGCGAGAGAGTCGACGGGGACCCGCGCCGGGATAGAAGAGGAGCTGATGCGCCTCCTCTCACAGGCCGTCGAACGCCTCGGTCTCGAGTGGTCTCCTCCACCCGAGCAGGCCCCGAACCGAATGGACGGTAGCTTTTTTCATCGGCGCTCGACCCCCGCGTGCACCCGGGCCGCTCCATTCCTGCCTGAACTTCACGCAGAGCTGACAAAATCCTGGAATGCACCGCTCTCGGCTAGAAATCGCTCCGATGTATCCGCCTCGCTGCGCTCGGTGGACGGAGCCGCCGAGAAAGGCTATGCAGCCATGCCGCCCGTCGAGGACTTGGTCGCCACACACCTCTGCCCGCCCTCCGCTAGATGGCGTTCTTCACCCACGCTTCCTTCGAAGGCTTGCAGAGCGACCTCGAGGTTTCATGCTCGCGCTTACGCCGCCGCCGGTCAGGCCGCCGCTGCGCTTCACTCTATGTCTGTCCTCCAAGTGTTACAGAGCGATATTCTCCGTGAATGGGCCGAAGGCGGTAGAAAACCCCCCCCCGCCGTCACGGATTTGAGAAGTGCTACGGATCTCGCCCTTCGCGCCACTAAAGCCGCCGCACAAGCTCTGGGGAAATGCATGGCCAGCCTTTGTGTTGCTGAGAGACACTTATGGCTCACGCTCGCCGACATGGGAGATTCTGAGCGCGCCGCGTTTCTCAACGCGCCCCTCTCCCCGACGGGCCTGTTTGGATCTGCCGTCACGGGAATTGTCGATCGCTTTTCTGAAGTACAGAAAGCTTCTCAGGCGATGAACTTGTTTCTACCCCGCCGCGCTAGCTCTTCAGCGGGCCGCTCTCACGAGCCCTCCGCCAGAGCCCCATCACAGCGCCCCCCTCCGCAGACTCAAACAACTCAGCGCAGTCAGAGCGGCCGCCCTCGCCCTCGCTCTCGCTCTGACAGCCGCCGCAGACCGCCGCCCCCCCGTGGCCCGCGACCCAAGATCACGCTGAAGCCTGATCATCAGAAGTCTGCCTAACAATGTCAAGAAAACGACGGTGCTCTCCCGCCGCGGCCGGACCGCCGTCAAAGCTTCGCCCTCTGCCAGTCCCCGTTATTTCGCCGACTGCTGTAGTGTTGACCGCCACAAACAAGCCGGTGTCCCAGCCCGCTTGCGAGCGACAAAAAGCCGTTTTTACGGCTACCCAGAGAAATCTCAAAAAGAGAAATTTTGCCAGTTGTGTAGAAAATGTGCCCACAATCATGTGTTCACCCATACACACAAGCATAACATATCCCGTGTCTCTATCAGAGCCCCATCACATGAAACGGGCACAGCCCGCTCTAATATCAGAGAACATAAACACGCCCACGAGCTCGTGCACGTGTCCCCTCTCTGCTCGCTCTGTGTCACGGCCCATAGACTCCTCTCTGAGTGCAAATCCCGTTGCCACACACATTCAAAGCGCGCCCACACACTGTGTCCAGCCCGCTATGTGCAGCAATCAGGGCAATACAGCCATTCGGCCACTAGCCGCATGCTCCAAAGCGTGGGAAGCCATTCCAGGCATTTCCCCGTGGGTGTTAAGCATTATAAAGAACGGCTACCTGCTACAGTTTCGCCGCCGCCCGCCTCGTGCGCGCGCGCAGCTCGAATCTTCTGTCAGCCCGCTGGCCGCCGGCACGCTCCGCTCAGAAATTGCGACGCTGTTGCAAAAGGGCGCGATAGAGAGAGTCCCGCCATCTATGACCGAGTCGGGGTTTTACGGCCGTTATTTTCTGGTTCCCAAGAAAGACGGCGGCCTCAGACCGATCTTAGATCTCAGGTCTTTGAACAAAGCGCTCATGAAGAGACCGTTCAAGATGCTCACTACCAGGAAACTCCTCGCGCAGGTGCGCCAAGGGGACTGGTTCATATCTCTAGACCTGAAAGACGCCTATTTTCAGATCCAGATAAATCCCCGTCACAGGCCATTCTTACGTTTCGCCTTCGAGGGTCTTGTTTATCAATACGCCGTTCTCCCGTTCGGCTTATCTCTGGCGCCCCGTACATTCACGAAGTGCATGGATACGGCGCTCGCCCCCCTGCGAAGCCAGGGGCTGCGCATTCTGAATTATCTGGACGACTGGCTGATTTTGGCCCAATCACAGACGGAGCTTCTGTCGCACCGCGCAGTTCTCCTCGACCATTTGGAAACGCTGGGCCTCTCTGTCAACTGGACAAAGAGCTCCCTTCATCCCAGTCAATCGATTTCCTTCCTAGGAATAGATTTGGACTCGGTCACGATGACGGCTCGCCTGTCTACACAGCGCGCGCGCAGTGTTCAGCGTCTAGCCGCCTCGTTCCAGATGGGCACCCGCAGGCCTCTGAAAACTTTTCAGAGGATGCTGGGTTACATGGCCTCAGCCTCCGCTGTACTTCAGCTGGGCCTTCTGCACATGCGCCCGCTTCAGTTCTGGTTGAACAGCCGTGTACCCCACCGCGCGTGGAACACGGGTCGCCAGCTGATCAGGGTTACGCAAACGTGTCTCACGGCGCTGCAGCCATGGACAGTAGCAGAATGGTTTCGTCTAGGCGTCACGATGGGGACCTTTTCCTGCCGAAAAGTCATCTCGACAGATGCATCCAACACGGGTTGGGGTGCAGTCTGCGAGGGCTCACCGGCCTTCGGCCACTGGTCGATTCAGGAAAGCCCATTACATATAAACTGTCTGGAAATGCTGGCGGTCGAGAACGCGCTCTCGCACTTTCTCCCGCGCATCCAGGGACACCACGTCCTGATCCGTTCGGACAATATGGCCGTGGTCTCCTATCTCAACCGTCAGGGCGGTGTCAGATCCAGAAATCTCTGTCGACTGACGCACCGCATTCTAGTTTGGTCTCAGAGCCGCCTGCTCTCGCTCAGAGCGACGCACGTGCCGGGCCATCTGAACGACGGTCCAGACATACTGTCCAGGAACCTCATCTCCACAGGAGAATGGTCCCTGAACTCACAGACGGTCCAGTTACTGTGGCGACTATTCGGCAGAGCAGAAGTAGACCTCTTCGCGTCAGAAGAGAACGCTCACTGCCCAATATATTTCTCGAAGAGCGAGGACGCGCTAGCCCAGGAATGGCCTCGCCGCCCGCTCTATGCATTCCCTCCGATCGCTCTGTTACCACAGGTAATTCAGAGGATCAGGGACACACGCCACTCGGTGCTCCTCATAGCCCCGCGTTGGGAGAGTCAGAATTGGGTTCCGGAGCTCACGCAGCTGTCACAGACAGCCCCGTGGCCCATCCCAGTCAGAGCAGATCTCCTCTCTCAAGCTCGCGGCACGATCTGGCACCCCCATCCACAGCGCTGGGCGCTGCATGCATGGGTGATCAACGACTATTCGTTGATTTGCCAGAGGGAGTAAGAAACACTGTCATACAGGCTAGAGCACCTTCCACGAGAAGGCTCTATGCGTCTAAATGGTCTGTGTTCTCAAAATGGTGCACCGACAAACAGCTGGACCCACGGTCGTGCGAGGTGCCGTCTTTGCTTGTTTTCCTTCAAGAGATGCTGGACAAGGGCAGGTCCCCCTCCACTCTCAAGGTTTATGTGGCAGCCGTCGCGGCGTTCGCGGAACCCCGACGCGCTCAGTCATTGGGCAAAGACGAGTTAGTCATCCGCTTCCTCAGGGGAGCTAAGAGGATGAACCCTCCGCGGCCCCCGTCGGTTCCGGTTTGGGATCTTTCTATAGTCCTTGAAGCTATGAAAGCACCCCCGTTCGAACCGCTCGAGTCTGTGGATCTGAAATACCTCTCGCTCAAAACCGTTTTCCTGACGGCTCTGTCCTCAGTTAAACGCGTTGGGGATCTTCACGCGCTCTCATCCAGCGCCGCGTGTCTTGAGTTTGGACCGAATGATTCGATTGTCATTCTCAAACCTAGGCATGGCTATGTCCCGAAGGCGATTGGTACCCCGTTCAGGGCTCAGATTATCTCCCTATCGGCTCTGCCTTCATCCGATAGTGAGCGCGATGCCAATCTCCTTCTGCCGCGTTCAGACGCGCTGAGCAGCTTTTCGTGTCGTTTGGGGGGCGCACCAAGGGTCTGGCCGCCTCAAAACAGACACTGTCTAGATGGATAGTGGACGCTATCGCCTCTGCTTACGCATCTAAATGCCTGCCCTGCCCTCTGGGCATCAGGGCGCACTCCACTAGAGGCATGGCCTCATCGTGGGCATGGTCCTGTGGAATTTCCATTCATGACATTTGTGTGGCCGCGGGATGGGCCTCCCCGTCCACTTTTGTCAGGTTTTATAACTTGGAAGTTCCCGCCTTGCAGGCAAAATTACTAGCTGTCTGACGAACAGCTCTCTAAGAAGCTGCATTTCTGGAGGTCCCTCACAACCGGTTCGCCCCTTGTGCTCTCCTGTAATGCTTATACACTTCATGTGCCCGCTCTGCTGGCCCCATACATGCTTATGTGTACACTTCATGAGCCCGCTCTGCGGCCTCTTTGTACATTCACTCCACGTTAAGAAATTCCCCCGGTATATCCCTGGGTTTTTCATGAGTGGATTCGTAGCGCGCACGGCGTTGGCCAGGTGTTCCCGCAGCGTAAGCTAGCTTACGCAATACGAGAGAACCTCTCGTAAGAGAACGAATCGGTTACCTAACGTAACCTCGGTTCTCTCTAGAAGAGGGAACGAGTATTGCGTTCCCGGCCGTGCTTGCGCTACTAGCGTTTCGCTTCACGCTGAAATAAATCAACATATAAGCCTGGGAGAGCGCCTTATATACACCGTGGCCACGCCCATTCTGGCGGGTCGTGACGCAATGAGCGCGCGGGCGCCTCTCATTGGAAGCGGGTTCGGCCCCGCTCTCCCATAGGCTTAAGCAGTTCTCTCTGAGCGAACCAATGAGCTGCTAGCTAGCCCGCTCTAGGTCTGCCGCAGAGGAACTGCGTTGTGTATGGATACAAAATTATGAAATAATTTTTTGGCTTCAATATCTCAGCAAAGATGAATCTTTCCCGCAGCGTAAGCTAGCTTACGCAATACTCGTTCCCTCTTCTAGAGAGAACCGAGGTTACGTTAGGTAACCGATTCGTTTTTACAAACAATAACTTGGTTTCCCTGGTTACGCCTGACGGTTTGTTTAGCAAACCGAGATATTTATAGTCCGCTCAGCTCATTTACAATAAATTGTAAACGGATCACGGATACTTTGACTGCCTGTTGCTATGGTTACTCACAGCTGATGTAGCCAGCGCATTTATTTATTAATTTCGAACGGTAAACAGACAGTTTCACGAGGGCTGCGTTCAGCGCCGACAAAACGTTGCACAACGTTTTTTAAACAGAAACGGTGATGCGTTGAACGCACTGTTCTGATGACGCAAGAGTTGCAACTACGGCAGCTGAGAAGGCCATTCTTTGTGTTCTTTGTGAAGAATTTTCGGAGCCTGATGAAGTCGGTATAAATATGTTTAATACTACAAAATATGCCCGATGTTACAGTTACTGCACTTGCCGCCCAGAACACAAGAGAGCATCCCAGTCGAGTGAAGGGATTTGTGGAAACTGAAATGGAAGCACACATCTTACCTAATTCAGACTAAAACACATCTATTTACCCTCACGTAGGCCTACTGACTTTATTTGTAGTTCATACTGTTTTAATACCCTGTATTTTCTTTCTCCTTTTTAGGAAAAGCACTTAATTACCATTGTTTATTTATATACCAAATGTCATACACTTGCAATGAAGCTAAAATTATAAACAACTACATCATTATGTTGATATCCTATATTTTTACAATAAAACTTACGACAAACATGTCTTCTAATATCCTCAGTTGTTGCGTATACCGAGCTGCATCGAACACATTTGTAAATAACTTTCCTTGAACCCATTGTGCGAGTTTACTTTAATACAGCGTGCTTTATATACATGTTGCTGCTGATTGGACTGCAGTTCTGACACACCCAGCAAACAAGAGAAAACGCATCTCAAACCCCGTTGCACACCGGTGCACGCCGTTTCCTGGAAACATGACGTTCAACCCGCAAACCGTAGCAAAACGTTGCGCACCGTTTTGAACTTGAACGTGCCCCAGAACTCCTTTTCTAGGTGTCCTCTATCACTTTTTAATGGACACCCTGCAGCCAATCAGAATTGAGTATTCACCCAGACCATGGTATAAAAGAGCATAATAGGTGCACTTAAAATTATTTTCCCTTATGTTACCAACTTCTTGCTTTTGTGAAGCATAAAAGGACAATATCTGAGTTGCTCAGTCATTTCCATAAAACAAAAAGGGAGGATTATTTAAACAGTCAAGCTTTAGAAAGCATTAAAGTATCATAAAAGTAGTTGTGAACTACACAGTCTTTTGTTTGGGAAAGAAATAATACTGGGTTAAACAACGACCTTAAACTATTACATATGTATGTATGTATACTTCAGTCGGTTTTACCAGACTTTTCTACTTAGTTTTGGGACAGGATGAAGCTGTACCTCATGCCAGCCAAGCACCAGCCGGATTTCGCGTTCCTGCGGCACGTTCCCCTGCGGCGCGTGCATCTCTTCACCCTGGTGCAGATCATCTGCCTGGCCGTCCTCTGGATCCTCAAGTCCACTGTGGCCGCCATCATCTTCCCTGTCATGGTGCGAGTTCTCCACATACTCCAATCGCTAGAAATGTGTTTAAAACACAAGCTGATGTGGTATTTAGGTCAATCTCATGAAGGGATGTTTGGATAATATTTCAGCCCAAAATGAAAATATTCTTAATTTTCATGAAAAAAAATTCATAATGCAAATTTTTTTTATTTTGCATGTTCTAAAATAGGTTTTATTTTTTCTATGCAAAATATTTTATTTTTATTCTCAAAATAATGATAAAAGATCTTAAAATAGGCTTATTTTATTTATTTTATTTTATTTTTATTATTTTATGATATGATGCGATATGATAAAATATGACCTGGAGTTTTCGTCAGATCCTACTGCAAAAATAATCTAAAAGATCTTAAAATAGGCTTTTTTATTTAATTTAATTTAATTATTATTATTTATTTTTTTATTTTTTTTTATTTTTTTTTGCAATGAAAAATGACCTGACCTTTACCCATATGTGACTCTCTCCAAATATTAGCATGTAGTGTGTATTTTATGTATTCTAAAGTTGTTGAAAAGATGCTTAATTTTTATGAAAATGTCAGTTTAAAAAACATTTAAACCGTTCTAAAATAGGCTTTATTTTCTATACACAGGGTATTGGATTGTTTTTTGTTTTTCTGTGTGTGTGTGTGTGTGGATGATATATTAGCTGGAGTGTTTGTGAGAATCGCCCATATGTGACTCGCCCAGATTATTAGTATGTCGTTCACTTTTTGTATTTGAATACTATTCGCTTGCACAAATGCCAAGTGACTTGTTCCTCCGTCAGATTCTGGGCCTGATGGTCGTGAGGAAGATGTTGGACCTGGTCTTCTCTCAGCATGACCTGGCCTGGCTCGACGACATCCTGCCTGACAAGGACAAGAAGAAGAAGGAGGATGAGAAGAAAAAGAAAGAGAAGAAAAAAGCCAAAGCGGATGAACACAACAACAGCGATGAAGAGGTAAGAACAAACCGATGTGTGAGATGTTATCATGCTGATACACTCATTAACATGATCTTATGTTCTTTGTGTGTGTGTTTTGTGATTTAATCTTTCATATTTATCTTTTAATTCCACAGTGTTGCTGAAAAGGCACTGTAAAACACTTATTACCATTTAAGTCCCTGCTAAATCTTCCCTCTTGTGCAGCACAAGCAGAGTCCACTTAGCATAGCCAGAGTTGTGCTCTTGTCTCTTGGTCCTTTATTACAGCCTGCCTTTATTGTGTAGTTGGTGGTCATTCGTACAGTGCGGAATGATTATTTTGCATGAAATATTTGTTCATTCAGGGTCCAGAATTAACACTTGGCCTTGGTGAGTAAATTAAACTCTTACTGGCCAACTTTGGTAGGAACTGCAACAAAGTGCATGATTTAAATTTCAATATCGCTAAACGTTCATCTAATGTAAGCACATTGAATCAAAGAGTTTATTATAGGAAAGCTGGCAGCACAACACAGCTTCAAGTTCATTTTGGACCCTGGGTACGTACACTTATAAAATATACACTACCGTTCAAAAGTTTGGGGTTGTTAAGATTTTTTTATGTTTTTGAATGAAGCCTTCTGCTCACCAAAGCTGCATTTATTTGTTAAAAATGTATCACAATTTTAGTACAATATTATTATAATTGAAAAGAACTAATTTAATATATTTTAAAATGTAATTTATTACCTGTTATCAAAGCTTAATTTACTCAAGAAACATTTCTGATTAAAATATCGTACTGAGCCCAAACTTTTGTGTTAGTGTACCTGCATGCATATTGTCTGTTGCAATGGTGTCGTCTTCTCCCAGTCAAAGTGTCCCAAAGACTCCCTCCCGTCAGTGAAGATTCCTCTGGAGCCAATCAAACCTTCAGCCCGTCCAGCATGTTGTCCAACCCCCTCTAATTCTGACCCCTCGGCCTAACTGTGAGTACTGTGATGCAAAGAGATGCTCTTCCATAAGCAAATGACTGTTTGACATGATTTAAACTCTAAACTCATCTTTATATGTGTGTGTTCCACTTGTTTCTTTTATATTTGTGTTTGAGTAGAAGCATCATCCTTGTTCTACTTGCACCCCAGGCGAGTCAGACCTGGATTTGGACGGATCCCGTCACGTGTCTCATCCCTCACATGAACCTGAAGCGTCCGACTGATCAAACACACACAAACCATGTTTGTCCTCACACTTACGATGAGATACGATCTGAGTCACAAGCGCAGCATCATTGGCAGTTTCCCAAACACACGAGGCTCACAGATGTATGATATTCTTACGTACCTTACCAACGCAGCAAGTGACGCGCGTTTCCAAACCCACATTGACCATATTGTGCGTGAGTCATCCAGCCCTTGGATTTTACTCACGATTCTTCAATTAGATCTACAGAGCTGTGCCAGTTTGAACGGCTGAGCTCATTTGCTGCGTGTTAAGATAAGATTCATGCATGTATACTGTGAAACCCTATTCAGAGAAGACCTGGAAATACAAAAATATGCTGAAGAGGTTTAAACTAAGTTTATGATTCCATTATCATTGTATAAATATATTCAAACTGTATGATATTAAATATGGATTTCATAGAATCTAGTGAGATACAAATAAATTGAATTATAGTTAGAAAAACAGTGTATCTAATAGAAATCCGTTGGATTTAAATTTGTTGTATTGCATTACAATTAATATATATATTCCAGAAATAGATTTTGAGTTCATACTGTAGAATTTTATATTTAAAAATCAGAAATGTGTATTTGAGTAATGTTGAAATGTTTTCAGACAGTCGTAAATGGGTCTCTGGTCCTTGAGAACAACGCACAGGTTTTGTTTTATTTAGATTTTGTTTGTTCATTTGTATTTTCTTCAAATAAAGAATAAAAGAGGGATGAATGTATTTTCATTGTCATTTTTAGTTCTGTCAACCCTTAGTTCTCTTACGAGAGGTTCAGATTTATGTGTTGTGCTGTGCCACAGCTTTTTGGACACGTACTTCCGTTCTTTTCATGGTAACATCTAGAATGTTATTCTATTGGGTACTTTGGAGTGGCATGTAAAAGCCCGTTCACACCAAGAACGATAACTATCGTGATAATGATAACTATATTAGCGTCCACACCAACGCACGATATCGTTCTGTTTATTCTATGCGCGCGCTGAAGTTCCCTTTCGAGAGGTTCCTCCTATTGCGTAATAGCTTACGCTATGGGGAAAACTCCTTTTCTCGAGAAATATTGAAGTCTTTATGTAAAACGCATTGCAGCTGCACAGCATACAGCAATGAGCGAGGCAGCTCGGTCATTGGCTGTGCTGCGGCAACTTGCACGAACCAATGACGGGGCGACTCTGAACCCGCTTCCAATGAGCGTGCTTCGCGCCCACGCGCGTCAGAGCCCGCCAAGATGGGCGTGGCCAAGGGCTATATATTGGGCGCCCCGTCGTCTGAGTTCTTTAGATTTAATCTCCTTCAGCAAAGAACCTTCTCTTCGCTGGATCCTCCGGATTTGTTGGAGTCTTTTCGCCGCCGCCGTCGACAAGCCTACAGCAGGACTGCTTCGAGGACGCCGGCGCCTTCAGCCGCCTTCGATCGCCCTTCTGCTGAGCCATCCGGCGCGCATCATCTTCTAATATCCTTTCAAAGCTATCAGTGTTCGCTCCCGCGACACTTTTCTAAAAGAGCAAATTTTACAAGGCGTTGTTTCAAATGCCTTCCTGCGCCTCGTGTCGAGGCCCTCTTCAGGACGGGGATCGTCACATCATTTGCGCCCGCTGCCTGGGACCGGACCACGCAGAAGCTGCCCTTACTCGAGGCGGATGTCCCGAGTGTGACGCCCTGGGACTCACCGAGCTGCGCACTCGCTTCGCCGTTTTCACCGCGAAAGAGCCCACCTCTTCCGTGCTGCCATCTCCTCTAGTCGAGCCGCGAAAGAAAAAACGCCGCTCACAGAGGCCGCTCACAGAGGCCGCCGGCTTCACCACCACCCGAAGACTCCCCGCCGCCAGTCTAGTTCACACAGGCGGACCAGCACCCCTCCAGCGGAGCGATGGGGCTCGTCTCGTTTGGCGCGTCAGGGGATGACGAGGATAAGGATGACAGTTTTTCCTGTGATGCTGCATCCGACGACTGGCCGGGCTCGTCCTTCGACCCCGCTCCATCGACATCAGCGGGCACGAGCGCGGGCTCCAGCACGGACTCGGAGATCGTCCGCATTCTCTCTAAGGCCGTGGAAGACCTCGGGCTCGATTGGTCTTCCCCGGAAGAACCCGCCCGCAGCCGACTGGACGAGTGGTTCCTGCAGGGGCGCCGACAGGCCCCTCGACAAAGACCCTCCCCCTTCTTCCCGGAAGTTCACGACGAACTCACGAAGTCGTGGAAAGCCCCGCACTCCGCTCGCCTGAAGCCTTCTTTTTCTTTGTCGCTCTCCTCTGTGGACGGCGCGAAAGAAAGAGGCTATGAGGGGACTCCGCCCCTCGAGGAGGCTGTGGCCAATCATCTGTGTCCACCCTCCAACGCTGGATGGAAAGCTAAAGCTTCTCATCCCTCGAAGCCTTGCCGGTCCACTTCAGCTCTCACCGGTCGCGCATACGCCGCCGCCGGCCAAGCTGCATCAGCGCTTCACTCTATGGCTGTCCTCCAGGTGTTTCAAGCCAAACTTCTCCGCAGTATGGACGAGTCTGGACCCGATCCTGAGGCATTTAAGGACCTACGCAGCGCCACTGACATAGCGCTGCGAGCTACAAAAGCCACCGCCCAATCCATCGGCCGTGCTATGGCTAACCTGACTGTCCTTGAGCGCCATCTGTGGCTGACGCTAACAGAGATGAAGGATGCAGATAAGGCGTCATTTCTCGACGCGCCTATCTCCCAAAGCGGCCTGTTTGGACCAGCGGTGAAGGAGTTCGCCGAGCGCTTCACCGAAGCCCGTAAGGACTCACAGGCTATGCGTCACTTCCTGCCCAAGCGATCTAGCTCATCGCAGAGCCGCCAACGGCCGCCTCAGCAGCAGCGAGCTAAGACGGCGCCCCCCGTCTCTCAGCCCAGACCTGAAACAGATTTTCGACGCCGCTCGCGCTCTGCCAACAGGAAGCAACCGCCCGAGCGACGGGGACCTCGGCCCAAGATTGTGCTGAACCCAGAGCCTCGTAAGTCCTCCTAGCTACTGGGAGGAAAAGGGAGAGCGCGTGTCTCGCAAGAGCCGGACCGTTCTCTCCAAAACGTTTAAAGCATTACCCAGTCCCCTTACAGGCGGCTGGAAATGTCTATACAGCAGCCAATGTGCCAGCCACACAGCTCGCCCACCTGCAAACAAACGCCGTTTTTACGGCGACACACAGAAATCACATAAAGAGCTATTTTCTGCCTGTGTCATTAAAGGGTCACGTGTCCACACCAAAGTGCGCATTCCCACATATCAAAACTGTCAACGCAGTGCCAAATGTTTTCCCAGCTCAGGCTGGACGCCCCATAAATGTAGATTGTGTGCCAACTAGGGTTGGGTACCGAAACTCGGTGCCAATAGGGAACCGGTTCCGACGTAAACGGTAGTAACCAGACCGAATAAGAACGACAATTTCGGTGCCCGATTTCGGTGCCTGACTTAATTAGGCGCACACACACACGCACAGTCTCTTCTGTCTCGCATGCGCGCTCTTGCTCGCAAGGTTTGGCTGCATTTCACGTGTAAAATTATGCATCAGAACGGGTGTGCCGATAGTCTGAATCCATATAGAATCAAGCCAATACATTGGCTGATGGCGCGGGCGCCCCCTTGACGCACTTACGTCGTCATATTATGTTGGCGCGCGCCATCTGCTCCTCAGATTTCTTTGCCGAAAAAGGAAGCTGGTCGGCAGCGCAAGGAGCTTGGCAGCGTCTCGTTCCCTATTGAGAGAACATAGGTTACACCAGTAACCAGAGATGTTCTCTTTCATAGGTTCACTCAACGCTGCGTAGCTAAGAAGCAGTGGATTTGTAGGCTGCTGTATCACGTGCCGTTTGAACTGACGCGCTACAGCGATCTGTCACATTTCAAAGAGCCAAAACGTTATTTATTGTGTGAATCTCGTAAAAATATTGACAGAATCTGACAGCTGTGGATTTGTTCCATATCAAAAGTAACCTTCTCTGTCGGTGTCAGTGTCCTCTTTGTCCGCGATTTTTCTGTGTGAAAAGGGTCAATTGCGTGAGTCTCACGGTCAATGCGTGAGAGTTGGCAGCTCTACCTGCTAGTAATCTCTATTAATCTCCAGTATTATTAAATTGTTTAATACAATATTGTTTTATTTGATATTATGTAAATGTGAATTTTTATTTTATATTGGTTTTATTATTATTTGTATTTATATTGTTTAAAGATTTAAGTTAATATTGTGTCCAGTTTGGCCCTGTAAATAAAAGGGTATTATTTTTTGATAAAGTGTGTGCGGTTTCGTTTTCTTAAGTACCGTTTCAAGAACCGTTTAAGCACCGGAACCATTTAAAAAATACAGAGTAGGTACTGGTATCGGTTAAACCCAACCGATACCCAACCCTAGTGCCAACTGTCACGTATGCACCACTACACACAAGCACTGTTCCCACAGTTATAAACACTTCCCCAGTAAAAGCGGGAAGTTGTATAAGAGTAGCGCGTGTGCCCGCTGTTATGCACGCACCCCAACTCACAAACACTGTTTATA